TTTATTGTGGCAAATGTCACATACTTTTAATGTGTGACATTTAATGTTAGTGTCATACAGAGCCTGGGAAGCCTGTGCTGAATGCAGTTGCTCCAAATGTGAGATGTAACTGCTTCTATAGACATGCCTGGGACCACTGGAACTACAACACTGCAACTGAAAGGGATTTAAGATACAAAATCACCTTTGTCATGAGCTGGTTAGCACTGAATAAAGCCAAAGCAACTGAAAATGAAGCAGTCTGTATTGCCACCAACAAAATTAACAACTGTATTAAAACACATATTGCAAAAACCATGAGATGGCTGCAGAGAAAGCAACCTTACCCCTGCAGATTTTTACATCGTGATTTAGTTCAACATTCTTGTTTGGCCTTTCTTTGGGTCCAAAACCAGGCATTCAGCACTCAGAAAATGGTGCAGCTTTTCCTGGGATGATGGGTGCATTCTGCAGTCCAGATTGTAGGCACTTGAAACGAGCCCCTCAGCTCCCCCTAACACCCTCTGAAGTGAGAGCACAGAGGTTGTGCCAGAGATGAAGTTTTACTGCCAGCCCTCCAGGCTGCCTAAATCTGATTTGGAGTTGCTGGTCACGTGCTCCACAGACATTCAGAAGCCAGAAGGCTTAAAATCTACTATTGGTCTATTTTATTACTGCTCAGAAAGTAATATCTCAGTATTTCACCAATGGCTCAGCAAAGGCTCAATTCTTCTGTGCACGTCCATACCAATGCTGCTCTCCATTAAGAACTGTGCAGACAGGGACACAGTAAAGGAAAAAGGATACACAGATTTCCTAACTTGATTTGTCGGCAGTTCTCTGGCATCAAATGCTGGTATTAAAGATCTGCAAACTTATTCCCTCATAGGCATTCAAGGCCCTCACTCCCTTTTTATTCTGCATCCTGTACAAAAATCAAGGCTTAGCTCCATCAGCCAGTCTGGCGACCACAAACCTCCACCCCCTGCTTTCCTGCACCCACTGAAGGCCCAGATTTTCTACCCTCCTGATTCACATTATGGGAATTGAGTTATTTTATTTCACCAACAGTTAATTAACACCAAATGTGCACTAATATTTTTACTCTTACTGGTTTTATTCTTTAAATGCTCACTAGAGTTTCTCTTGGAGCTGGGACTAGTTAGAAGAAAGGTTTCCAGGAGCAGTCCCTTGATGAGGGCAAATTTGGGCTAAACTTGCTGAGATTTCTTCCCCATCTTATCTTCTCTTCTTTTACCAGGTTAAGATTTAAGTTGTCCCAGCTTTTCTTCCCTCTTAAAAAACAGGTTTTTAACATAGAAAAACAGATGTATTTGTTCAGAGAGAAAAAGTAGCACATGATCTGTCCTACATACTCAGAACTTCAGGGCCACCCTATGCATTTAGATCTGGTTGAGTTTCCATGTTTGATTTTGGAGTGCTCATCTCTGAATGCTTCAGTGAAGAAGCTGTGATCCAGAGTGCTGATGGGAACATCCCAGAACATCAAACCTCTGTAAAAGAAATGTTGACAGTTTTATCTGAAAGTAGCATTGCTGGGTGCTGGGAGAATAATGGTATATCCAGGGCCTGTACTGCAAAGAGACCTCCAGAACACAGCATTTCCCTATTGGGCAGTGAAGTCATGACACCAATGATGCAATGAAAAACAGATTTATCCAAGTCTCTGATTTTACACAGAAAAGGCACCCAAGAACAAAGCAGATTCATGGAATTCACATGGATTAGCTAACACAGCTGAACTCTCCACTTCCTTAAAACTCCTTGCAGAATTAGGACCCTTTAATATGTTACATCCATGCTTAATACTGGAGAAAAATACCACACTTTGGTTTGCATTTGAGTGTCAGCTCAATGCTAAAATGTATTGTGAGAAGGGAGAAGTAGGTTTTAATGCAACAATAACTTCCTCCTATTATACACACACCCCCACATCTGTCTAAGCAACAATGTCTAACTGGTTAATAAAGGAGAGGAAACATTTAAATTATGATATCAGACCTTTTCAGCCTGGAGAAGCAACCTCTTATTATGGTTGGTCTAATACTCCTTAATTTTAGTCAGTATTACAGGTTCTTTTACAAAACAGACATTATGATTATTGAGATGACAATTCTGTATAAGAAAGAATTAACTGACACATTTAATTTTTACCCATCTCCAAATCACTGTCATATCAGCCTATCCTTCACCTGCTCATAGACACCCTTTTCAAGCAACTTCTGAAAAATTCCTTCCAATTGCTTCACTGATACTCATGCCTTGATCCTACAAGCACACATGAGCAAGCAGATGATGCAGCTTCTTGAAAAATAGGTTTGGGGTTTCTTATAGAATTGTGAAGACATTCAACAAATAAGAAATTCAGTGAAAAGCACAGTTGATATTTTCCCCATACAGTTTTTTTATGTGTCATGTTGTGTTGACTGGGAAAAAAGTAACAAGTTGGGGGAGAGTGAATTAGCAAAGCTCTCACTATTGCCTGTGATATCCTTTATGTACAACTTACTGAAAAGCCTTGGTGTTCAATTCCCTTTTATCAGAAAAGATCTTCACAGCTCGAGACTGTCCTTTCTTTCAAGCCATAAACTGCTTCTGGGACAAGGATCCCTTGTCTCCCCTTGGTCTTAGCACCACATCCAAGAATCTCACTTTGCACACTTTTGCAAAGACAAGTACAAATAACAGACAAGACAGTTCTAAGGCAAGAGACTTGAAGTAGTGGAACTCAGCACAGCCTGGCCACTGGGACATGCAAATGTGGGACTTGACCCTTTGGATAGCACAGGAAATTGCACCAGGGCTTCACCCATCCTTAGAGAGCGGCTAGAAAGACATCAATTCAGGATTGAATTGATCCTGATTTTCTCTTAGAGAACCTAAATGAAAACTTCTTTCTTGAGAAACACTGCAGAAGTTTTGAATTTATCTTGAATAAAAAGCATTTTTCTCCCCAATTTTTTTCTTTCAGCTACCAAACCAAAAGATTCAACTATGCATGCAACCCTAAACCCAGTGTTGCACACTGATGGACACATATCCAGTGCATCAAGTTCTATCTCTGTTCACTCAGTCTACAAAAGACAGCATTTGTAACAGAAACTGTTAATGCTTCTAGAAAATAAAATCATCTTCTAGAATTACTGCTCTCATTTGTGACCTCTTAATTCTCATAAAGCAGGTGATCCTGGTTAATGACTTAAACGCAAACATCTGCTTATCCCCCTCCAAAAAATGGATTAATAAGGCTGAAATTACACAGTCAATGATGTGGATAGTCTCCCACAAAAGTGTGATCATCATTTCAGAACATAACATCTAGCTCAATTTTAATGATATTAAAATCAATTACTATTGCTATTTCCTCTGCTATTTTAAGCCACCCAGGGTTTCATAAACAGTAACAGCAAGGATATGTTACCCCACTTTTGAAAGAAAAAATAATTCAGTAAAGGAAGAAATATAGTCTTTTATCTGTAACCACTACACATAATATTCTGCACTCTGACATAAATATGAAAAAGGAAAAAATATCTGTAATTATATAAGAAAGTTCTAGTCAAAGCAGGAAAACTGCATAACTGACAAGGAAGATCTTGTTGCTGTATAATGCCTTCCAAGAAGCATGTCATATAGTTTTTAGCTGACAATGAGGAGAAGCCATGAATTATTCAAGAACTTGCCCATTTGTTACCAAAACTACTTTGTCATGTAAATGAGCAGAGTTTTGAAATTTCCTGGAAAAAAGTACGTCCCAGAATTTGATCCAAGATCAATTCTTCATTGTTCACAAAGGATTTGCATTAAAAATATTCAGAGTATTAAACTAGTAACTTGATTATCACAACAGTGACTTCTTATGAAAAAAGGACAGCTCCCTCGAGACATGTAAATCACCATCTCACCGTAACATTTCAAAATCAAGGAGTTCACAGCACAGCCAACCTGTGACAGAGCAGCTAATAAAAGAATAACTCCAAAGGCTGCCACACAGGCTTAATGGTAAGTTTGGCAGATGCATCTGATATTTAAACTGGACGTTGGTGCACAGCAGAACCACCAGGTCCCACGGCACAATCTTTGATTTCAGTAGCGTTCCTCGGGATCAAAATGGTCTGAGGCAGCTGAGACAGCAAGTCAGTAGAGATGGAGAGAGAGTAAATCCTGGGTTCTGAACAGTGCTGTTATTTTGCTGCAATATTTGATATTAAATTCATCAAACATGTTTAATTTCAGTATGGAACAGCAGAGAAGGATGATGCAAGCTTCGTTCTCTGAAACTAAACAGTTTAAAACCAAATCATACAAAGTATCTGCAAACTCCGTTTAATTCAGAACTGGATCATTTAAGGAATATTTATTCATTCATTCTTAAAGAATTCTACTTTTTTTATCTTCTTGTTTTAGGCATAGAGCTGACATCAACATGCACATGATGGAAATCACGAGCTCCAGCACATGTTTAATTTAAGGCTCATCCAACAGTTCCAAAATACTTCTGAGACATGCATTTTGGTGCCTTACCAAACGAGGTCTGCTCAAATTTATGACAAATCATAACTGTATATTAAAATACACATTTCTTCAAAACCAGACAGAACTGTAACTCCCCATGGCCTAACCCCATCAGAATAATTCAAACTGTAAATCTCGAATAACTCAGAGGAGTTGAAAGAGAACATTACTTAACCAAAATACTTCATGATTTAAGAAGTATCAAGTTCTGAAGATTTATGGCAAATTGAGAATTTGCAAATGTTGGACTTAAAAAAAAGAAGTAATTAAGTGAAAGCACATTAATTACAGCTATTGGACAAGGTAACTATAATTACTAGGGAAACTAATTTTGAGACAAAGCATTATGTGACATATATAATTATGAGAATAAAAATGATTATGTATTAGCTGGATGAATATCTCAATCCTGATAGCTAAAATTAAACATATTTTTAACCAAGACAATCCATACATTCTTACTTAGACTTTAACACAATACCCACCTTAGAACACATGTGTAGAAACCACTGTCTTGCAACTCAACCGAGTGAAACCATATGGAATCTTCATCCTTGCTCATCCTAACTTCGGAAAATATAATGGGTTCTTCTAAATCTCCTTTGTTTTTGTACCACATAAGCCTAAGACCTGTGCTTTGGGCCATGCTATAATTAGTTCTGATATAGCTGTAGAAAAGGGCACATTTCACTCGGACTGGTTCACCTGCCAAAGCCATGTATGTCTTGAGATCCACTGACCAGTCAATGCAACCATCAACTGAAAGCAAAACAATAATAAAGAAATATTAGACACAGACATATTTTTCAATATAGTTTAAGGACGTTTGTGAAATACAATGCAATACACTAAAAGAAAAGAACCTTTGTTTTATGGCAGTACAAAAAATGTAAAGCAACTATTGGCAATTAGGGTTTCATACACCTTTTTTCATTACATGTAACTGTGAATTTGCAGCCAATAAATAGAACACATTAAACCATTGAACACTTCTTTAGAATATCATTACTTTCATCCCCAAAGCACTAATTTTTTATTAAATAAACTAAATGTTTCACCTTAACTATTTGCCTCTGTAAACCAGTTTTGAAATCTTTATTTTGTTGTTGGAGGAAAATGTACATTGGCATCTGATGCCAATCTTATCCCTTAAAACTTTTCCATCCACCTCTGCTAATTACGCTATGCAAAAAAACCCCAAATAACAGATGTGACATTTATCATTTTCTTTTCGAGGCAGTTCCACAGAACTTTTTTCTTTTCTGCAGCCTACTCACACTGTAGAGATGTGTATTACACACAACAGGATACAATTACTACTTGCTGCCTGTACAATCAAGATTAATACAGGAGTTGTACAAACAAGAAAAGAGATCTTTTGATGTTCTGTTCAGCAAAAATTTTTGAAACAGTTTTCTTGATATTTCACTTGTAAAATTAATATATGTCAGCCAGTTAAATAAAAGATTACTTCTCCCTACAATTTTTTCTCCCTTTATTATTATCTTAGTTACAATAAAATCCCAGAACACGAATACGTGTAACTCCCCCCTCAATTATCAGAGACCTTCTAGTTCAATCTTTCTCATTGTTGGAAAAATTGTAAGTTTGAAAGTCAACCAAGAACATAACCAAGGACAAAGAATTCAAAGGCAGATCATCAATAGGCAAACACATTACCTAAAATTAATAGACTTGATTAAATACGTAGTTTTCAGAATTTATTGATCATATTCAGCTACAAGTAAGTGAAGCACCTTTACCTTTCATGCAGCTACCTCAAATTCAACCAAGTAATGCTCAATTTTCCTCTTCTGCATTTACAACATTAATTCTCAAACTATAAATGTTGGATATCCTTATACATTCTTGATTTCATATACATCTTCAATAGCATGCACTCTTCAAGTGATTTTTAAATTTACTTCCTAAACAAATGCAGCAAACCAAAATTTCTACACATGGTGAAATATCAGGTCTGGTTCTTTTTTTAGCAGTTTTTACAGCCTTTAAATTATTTCTGACATCTTTTCAGGCTTCTCTTCCATCATTCAAAAGTACCTGTGATAAATGGAGGGTTTTAATTTTCCCATTGCCATGAATCAGCTTTGACTGTACTCTGATCACATGAGCCATACACCTGAACCATATTTTAAACCTGTTGACACTGACCACTTTCACACTTTTCTGATACATAACTTCCATGTTATGTATACATAACTTCCATGTAACATCTTATTGCAAAACAAACATTACTTGTAAAAAAACCCCAAACTAGCATAAGCTCAGGAGGGAAGGGAAACCCAATACTCAAACCTATGTTATGTACCTACTGTCATGAGGGTATTGGCAGGCAAAGGGAGGTCTTAGAACACCTTTACCCACAGGGTGTTCCCTGCTCCTGCCCCCACCCTGCTGGCAGGTACAAACACAGCAGCTGGTTGTGCCAGCTGACTTCTCATCAAGAAAAGTCCCCAGACCAAATCCTTCACCTGAAGTTATGTACACACAGTTTTGGTTAACTTCAATTTTCATTTTCATTTTGATGAAAACATCCCGTTGATTTAAACTAAAATCCATTGCTTCTTGCTTTTAACAGCTGCTGTTAATGACATCAACTGAAGGGCCATCAGCAATTTACTGACTTTCGTTTTCCTCACTGCTGCAGCATCACTGCTTCCTCTGTGTTCACCCTCTCACACTTAGTGCCACACACAACAGGACAAGTTTGGATAATAATTAATTGAAAATCCTGCACAGGAGTATTTGCTCTCAGTGCATCCCCTCCAGGTTTATAACATCCTTCACTGTGACCAAAGCTGCACGTCGTAACTTGAACACACCCTTGTCGGGACCCCAGGAAACACGGCACTGGCCTCTCTCTGCATCACTGTTACACAGACATGGGCAACCAGCAGCAGAGCTGGTTCTCCCAGTCCTACAACCCCATCCAATCCACTTTTATGTCAAAGCCCAGTTCTGACACCATGAATTATTTCATAGAGTGGACTGAAGTCTTTTACATCGAGCAGGTATCATTGTACTCCATACAGAGCTTCCTCACAAAACTCTGTGCTTTTTATAAGCCCTGCTCTTTAGGCTGGTGTGATTTACAATTAAAGAGCAGTGCAGAGCTCACAGTCACTTTCTCTCAGCGAGGGATGTGAAAGGCAATGCTGAGCTCTCCAGATGGCTCATCCCTTGTTCTCCACGACACACAGATATTCTCAAAGGCACCCTTCCTCCTGCACTTTAGCAAAGACACAAAAGTCTCAGCTGAAATGAATAGGGGTGCCCAGAACTGGAATTCAGATCCAGACTAATTAATCCTGTCAATCTTGTGTCAATCGAATCCTGTCACATCACCTAATGCTTTCAAACCTGTGCTGGTTCAGCAAAGTTAAACCACAGCAAAGAATAACTGACATTCAGACACATATGGAAAGCTTGAGGGTCAAGCAGAATGGTGCCAGTTTTTCATTTATTCCACAGAGCAGAGTCACAATTAGGAGGAGTTATGGAGTCAGGTACTGACCCAATATGGAAATCCAGCTTTGGAAGCTGAAAATGCCTCTGATTCCAGTAAAATTTCTCCCACATCCACATCAAACAACTTGTCGAAGCACAGCTCAAATTAATGCTAATCATCCTTCAGTGTCATTCAATCTGTCTCATCTTCCACTTTGATTTGAAAACTTCTTCTCCCTTCTAGTGTGCACTTCTCTACTGTTTTATTTTCAAAATTTGACTTGTTGAAGTGGAATAGATAAAGGCATTTGAAAGATTATTTACAAGCAGGTCACTAGAGTGGCTAAAATCCATCTCTAGTTGCCCCCAGAGGAGAACAAGACAGTGGTGCTGGTGCTCTGTTGGCCACTGCCAGCGCTCTAGTCGGCACTGGGCACAGTGACCTGAGCCCAGCACAGCACCTGCATCTCGAAGAAGAACTTAAAGAAAAGGAAATTTACACAGGAGACCCTTTTCCCATTAACAGTGTCCAAATGGAAGAATTTCAGCAGCCCACAGCAAGGCTGACCCCAACACAGGGAGCCGGATGGAGGGGAAGGTGCAGGCAGGCTGTGCCTGCCCATTGCCCCTGCCTGCCCCCGCTGCTCCCCTGCAAGAGCTCCCTCCCTGCAGCACGTCAGGAGGTGGTAATTACAGAGGAGAGCACACAGGGAACGGAGCAACCATTCATTACAGGGTTGGTGACATCTGCGGAGGGGAGAAGTCTCACAGACCGCCTTGACTAAATCTTAATTATTAAAGAAAGACTAATCAAACAGGAGATGACTTTTTTCCCCTCACTCTTTTTTTTCTTGTTAAATACACAGTCAAGAATGTTTCCTCTTATGAAGCTGTAGAGGCTAAAATCTAGGTCAGGCTCCCTGCACTCACATGGAAGCTGGAATTTTTCCTCTTGCCGTGCTGTCAGTCACTGGAGCGTGAGCATTGTTAGATTCTTTTGGAGTATTCTCCAAGCTGTCATTACAAATGACTGGAGCTGCTTAGGTGGAGTCCAGCACTACATTATCCAGAACAAAGTTTGCTGTCATTTTTTTGGGGCTGGCTCTCAATATGTAATATAATCAGGGTAGTAAGAAGAGAAAAATAATGGCATTAGAGAGAGGAACTTACTACACAATAAATGTATATTTCTCTGCTACCCTATAATCACCTGGTAAATGCCTGACTGAAAGCCAACTCAAATTAAATCCTGTATATTCTGGGTGTACTTTAGAAACCTTCAATAATTTTTTGAAATATTTTTTATTTTAAATTTGGAGCACTTAGAGAATATGGAAAAAAACTGTCCCATTTTTAGCCCAGGTTCCTGAGGAAAAGCAGTTTGTCCATCAGTCAGTGTCCCCACTCCCTCAGCGTAACTTCTGCCCCAAGTGACTAATTCCACCCTATTGTGTAGAACACGAAAGTGTTCAGGTACACAAGAGCCCTGCATGGGTGCAGGAGAGTCCCAGTGTGTCCCCCAGGGCTGGGAAACACAGCAGCAGTGAATCATGGCAGAGCCCCACTGAGCCCATCCCAGTTATCTATCCAGGCTAATGCAACCTGAGGAGAGAGTGAATTGAAAATGAAGGTTTCAAAATTATTAAGTAAACAAGAGTTTAAGTTGGCTGACAATAACTTACTGTACTTTTATGTCAACAATCAACCCAAAGCGTGTACTGCATCTTCTTCCTCAACATTTCCTGATAATTTCCCATTACTCTTATTTTAAATAAATCTCACTGCCTAGGGAGTCTAGATGCATTTTAACATGAACCATATAATTTATGAGCAATTACAGAGGAGCATGTACATAGTCTCTGAGTAATTTGTCTTTCTGATTGCTGTCATATAAATAATTTTTTGCATAGCGAATCTGCCTGTTATAATTTTTGTAGGGATCTGTCACCTACAGCAATTTATATCATGGCATTGTTAAACATGTTTGCCTACCTTGTTACCTGAAAATCTCATTTTAAATTGAAATCATCTACAAATAAATAATTAAAAAAAACCCAGATTAGCTAATGTATTAAATTTATTGCTCCACAAAGCAAGCAATGCTTGTGACTGCAGGTACATAGTCAGAAATAAAACTACCATTCCTCTAATATAAGAGTTATATCTTTATGTACATATTAGCTGTAGAACAGCAGAGTCCAGGAGTTGATATCCACCATGCTCGGGCTTTGCAGACATGTAGGAATGATAGATGCACTCCATTAAGGATGTCCAAAGAGGGATGCAAATTT